TTCGACACTTCACTTTTTAATTATTCAAATAAGATTCAAAGTGAATCATAAAGATTAGGTTGTATGATCGGAATGGAATTTTTAATTCCGATTACATTAACACCCACTAATAATAATCTCACCTTTTACGAGATATAACCGAATCTACAATCTGACCGGTTAAAACGTGATCATTGTGACTAATCCAACCAGTTGTAATATGTTTATATTTAAATGATGATGTTATATCTGAAAACACATAGAGTGGAAAGTCTTTAATTATTTTATGAGCTCTCCTAAGAACAAATATAGATGACTAAAAAATATGATAAATAAATGCACATTTAGTCATGAATTAGAACGTTTTATTAAATTAGTGATTGTAAAATAAATGATACAGAGTGAGTCATAACTAGTTAACTAATTAAATATGATTTAATTCAATTTAGCTTACATCAATATGAATTGATCAAATACTATGTACTTTAAAATATTAATATTCTCTATTTCCGAAAAATAAAGTAGAAAAAGCTACAAGGTACAATTATTTGGAGGCTATACAAGCGGCAAAAGAAAATGTCAAGATTTTCACAACAACATTTTATTTTTCTAAGAGTTTTCAGCGTTTTCGTAGTGATCAAATTCAAATTTGTTAACTACCAGGAACGACAAAGAACAGCATTTCAAGGTTACTATTGCAGGATACTCTCTGCATAAGGAGATCAATGAAAATAGGGACTTTCTGATAAAGTAAGTTCCACACAGTTGCCAGATAAAGCTACGTGGATCTCACCCTATAAAAATACAGTCAACCTAATAGATCACGTTCTGATAGACAGAAGAGCTTCAAATCATTTCTTGGTGTACATAAAGTTCAGATGCAAAATAAGCAACAAGAACAACGAATGACGATAACACATTAAAAAATTAAACATAAAACTAAAGTGCAAGAAAAACTAAAATGCCCAGAAATACAGAAAAATTTCCAGAAAATAATTACTTGAAGGATGACAGAACTAGAACTAGATACACTACCAGTAGAATCAATATTAAGCATAGTGGTGCGTACGAAAGTCTCGTACGAGAGTCTCGCAGGTAAGTATTTCTGCAAATAATATCTGCAATATTTCTGTAAATATTTTCGTATCTACACGCTGGAATTCCAGTAATGATATGTTGAAAGTACCTCTTGAAGGTAGACATGGACTTGGTGCATTGTGTCAAAATGTTGTTGATTTAAAACCATATGCTCTTGAGGACAAAGAATGGATACTACAAGAAAAAGTGCATAAATTACTAGTCAACTTTCAAATACTTTCCAAGAAACTCGGAGGAGAGAAGTACGTCAAATTACCTATGGTGGTTGTACGTATCAATATACTAATAGGTAATATTGAGAGCAAAATATTTTGTATGCAGTAAATCCTACGCCTTCCGAAGGAGAATGGATGCAGGAGCTTTAAAAATATTATTCTATGCCTCGGTGTAATAAAGACACAGATATATTACAATGGTGGAAAATTCATGCTTCTGAATTTCCTATTTTAAGTTTAATGGCACGAGATCTCTTAAGCATACCGGCTACTTCAGTCCCGGCGGAAAGATTATTCTCACGTGCTGCATTAACTATAAGAAAACATCAAAATCGCCTTAATAATAAATCTGCACGATGTTTGTTATGCCTAAACGATTGGGTGAAAAATAAAATCATTTGCGACCGACAGGGCTGAGGGCTGTAATTCTCTCTTCCGACTCTTACATTATAGCAAGTATTTAAGTATTCCTTATTGCACTGAAACAATAAGATTATGCATGACGAGATTTCGATACTTTTATGAGACTCGCGTACGAGAAACGAGACGAGACGAGAGTGGAGGTTGCGAGACGAGACTTGATACAAGACTTATTAGTTCATCGGCGAGACGAGACAAGACTTTATGCCGTACGAATTAAGGTTACGTATTGTTCCGGAGCAAAAATTGGTCCTGATTTTAAGGCACATTTTATTTGACCCTTTTATTAAAAAATTGTGCGCTATTGAATTTATATGATCGTATTTTTTAGCAGCATAAAAATACATTGCAAACAAAAACTGATTCTTCTGCTGACCAAACCAGTTATCCGAATAAAATATCACATCCAACTTTTTGGTATTAGCTCTATCTTTTAGAGATCCCAAATAATTCAAAACACATGTTCCGATTTCGCAAACACTTCTATTAAATTCAGACTCGTGCCACATAAAACAATTCACTGCCTTTGACTTCAGTTCATAAACAGTGAAGTTAAAGACATTTAATTTGGAAATGTAGTAGAAACTGGACACGTCTCCTCTGGGACATTAAAGAACAGCTTGTAAATCATACACTGCAACAACACTTTTTTTTCTTTACGTGAGAGATCTTTTTCTATTAGATGTGTGTCATATTCTTCTTTCATATTTTCTTTATCTTCAGCTGAAGCTAGCTCATACGATCCGCAAGTTTCACACTGATCTTTCTTGGACAAAAAAAAATCCGTGTACCGTTACCTTGACATCTCCACCATAATGCAAAATATTCGCCTTTCGGCCAAATATCATGACTTTTGATTTATTCGGATTGATTATTAAACTGTGATGGTTAGCAGAAGTCACCAGATCCGACAATTCTGTATTCAATAAATTCAGATAATGTTGTTGTTCTTGAGTTTTATATGATATATACAGCTGAGTATCATCTGCGTAAAAATGAACTTTGCAGTACTTAAAAATATTACTTAAAGGTGCTGTGTAAATTGAGAAATTGAGAAAGGGTTGGGGAGAGCACAAAACCCTGCGCCACACCCTACCTAAGAAGACGTACATTAGATTGATGGTTAGACAGCTGCACGTATTGTTGTCGACCACTCAAGAAATTCTCAAAGAATGCAACTGCTGAATCTTCCAGCCCATAGTGCTTTAAAATAGTTAGTAAGAGGTTGTGATTTACTGTATCAAACGCCTTCGTGTAGTCACTGTAGTCCAATAGAACAAGTATAGGCATGTACCCTCTATCTGTTGTATCATCGATTACACACGTTAAAGCAGTCGTACAACTATGACCATATCTAAATCCAGACTGAACCGAAGGAAAGATGTTATTAATTTCCAGGTGATGCTGCAGCTGAACATTAATAATTTTTTCGATGATTTTTGACATTGCCGTTAGTATACTTATTGGGCGAAGGTCAGAAACGAGGATTGGATTAGCAACTTTTAGCATCGGGCGCACAAGTGCTACTTTCCACAAAGAAGGAAATACACTATTTTGAATACAAAAACTAACAACATGTATAACATAAGGCAATAGAAATTTCATACAGTACTCTAATGTTTTAACCGATACTCCATCGGTACCAATTGCATTGGATTTAATTGATTTCAAAATCTTCAGAACATCGCTTTCAGAGACTGTAGAAAAACTGAGAGGGTTTACAACACGTTCATTTAAAAATGAAATCGTTAATAATAGAAGCATTTTGAAAGTGGTTAGGAAGCGATCTATATTTGGACTTAATTAATTTCGTGGATTTCAATGTATGTCAGGTTACCCAGGGTTTTGCAACGTTACCCAAATCCAAAAAATGTTGTAAATATTTGCGTTTACAATTGCGATGCATATTTGTAACCATGTTACGCGCAGTTTTATATTGTTGCTAATGCACGGGGTCTCGTGAGCGCTTAAAAGATTGAAGCAGTTTGTCTCGATTTTGCATGACTGCTCTTAGTTCAACAGATATCTAGGGGGCCCCTGGCTTGGTAATTCGAGCTTTTTATAACGGCGCGTGCAGATCCAGTAGCACCAGTATATTTTCATTTCGAAATCTAACTTTTTCATCTATAGTCTAAATCTCATATAAAATTCGCCAGGGTAATGATTATAAAACATTAACTCGTTAAAACCAACGTAATTCCAATATATTTTGAAAAGGGGTACGACCCTCTCCTGTGGTGTATGCAGCTCGACAAAGACCTGAGAATGATCCGACAAATCATTATCCAACACCCCACTATCAGACACCAATTCATCGTTGGAGAACAGAATAACATCAAGCAAAGTGGCAGTTTTCGGGGTGACTCGTGTTGGCTCGTTAAATAGCCAGTGTAGTACAAACACCTCAAGTGTATTAATTAATTCAGAAACAGCTGCCGTGTCAGATTTGAGTATATCTATGTTAAAATCCCCAACGCATAAAACATCGTCAGCCAATAAAGTAATACTTTTTCAAAAGAAGCTATAAAGTCTCCAGCAGCTATGTTTGGGTGCTTATAAATAACACCACACGATAACGATAATTTTTTCAGTGAAACCCTTATCCATAACTGTTCCAAGGTATTCTCGTTTGAGTTCTCCATGTTCTTGTTTTTCTTTTTCTCCATGATCTTGTTCTTCTACTGGACCAAATATCCTTCTCCGTATTTTTCTTTCGAACTTTTTGGATCTTTTTCGTCTTTTTCTTCGTCTTATTAAACTCTTATATGTTCTCATTTTAGAGCTGTGACTTAGTATATTCGAATACATCAATTTCTTGTTTGCGAAATAAGCTTTATTGCCCTTTCTGCCACTTTGTTCTATATTGTACGTTCATCTCACGTCTCTGCCTCACCTCAATACTGCCACGTCTCTTATACGTGGCAGTATTTTTATGCACCACGACTTATTGTAATTTTTTAATTCATATAGGCATTCACCTCCTAATTTCAATCTCGAATAGTTTGTGGCTTTTGACAGTTTCTCTTGATCTTCAACAAATATTTAAAAATTGAACTGCACGAATATGACACCAAATTATTAATGTGATCAGAAATTACAGTTATTAGAGTTATTAATTACATATTCAAAAGAAAACTTTTATCTTTACTAATCGTACGTTTTAATATTTTGGATAATTTCAATAATTTTCCGAGAACGTTTCAAACTGACGCAAATACAAACAATAATTTAAAAAACGTAAACGACAAAAATTTTAATGGTTTGAAATAAAAAAAATACAACTTATCGTTAATGGTTAAAACTTTATTTATTTTTTTCAAAATTAACAAAGCGGAAATTCCAAACGTAGACGACATCTTTAAAACCAGTGGTTTTTCGTTTTTACATTTATTCTGGAAAAAACCATCATTAACTTCCCAATCGTTTTCTTCTTGTCCTTCTCTCTTTTTATTATACTCACGCATACAAACGTTTCATTTCGAATTTACAACACAGACACGTGTTATATTGAAAAAAAGTCGTGTAAGCGTCTAATTCCAAAATCTTCTCATTTTTCTCTCTTTTTTCTCCCCGTATTACCATAAAATTATAATTTTTATCCAATAAACCGGTTAATAAAACACTTTAATTTAAGAAATTTTTATGTATTCGAATTTCTTCATTAATTTTTTTAACAAATGAATATAAATTAACTAAAAAAATTCGTGTTCTTCATAAAATGATCATAAATTATACTTTCTTAATAATAAAAAATAACCAAGTTGACGTTTTTAGTGCATTTTAAAAACAAATTTTTTAAATTTTATTACTTTGGAACTATAAAAATCATTGAAATTGTACTAGATTTAAAATCATAACTTTTAAGCTTCATTGAAATCATCGAGGGTTGACTTTTACCGGTTTGGTTTCGAAGAAAACCACACTTGACACGGTTTTGTGACGACCGGGTTTTCCCACGGGACCCCAAAAATACCATACAATTCAGTTTATCTCATCAGAAATTGCGTGTACAAACACGTCACTCAACAATTTAATTATTTATTCAACTAAAAACTTCATTAAATGGTAAGCGATTGTAATATTTATTTAATTGTTTATTTAGTGTTTGTTTTGTACTATTTAATCGTTTTTTTGAGAAAAATTTAATGATTCGATTCAAAAACAAACAAGTTTAAAATGTGGTGATTTACCTCTAGGTATTAAATATATAGTTCTGGAAAATTTTGTTCATCAAAATACCATGTGAAACAGCACGTAGACCTTTTTAAACAAAAAATAATTATTAAAAACATAGAAGATTCATTACAAGATTTGTTTTTAAATTTTTTTGATGTTATAAACAAATTGACGTACACGTAAAACATTCCGCGAATGTTGATTCGATGATTTTTCCATTGACGCACATTTTAAACTTTGTTTAAATGAATTAATTATTTAATTTTGTGTTGGAAGAAAAATAGAAATTTAAATTTCCCGCCAGTATTATTCTTTTTGAACTTTTTTTTGTTAGTTTTAAAGAAGACATTTTCAATTTTAGCTTAAAACATGAATAATTGTTTAATTATCGCAAATAATTTTTCATAATTAATAATAATTATTTTAAATTTATGGATACGATTTTCCTTTAAGCGGTTAAAATTATTATGTGGCTATATTCACGAAAATTTCGTTCATTCTGACATTACATGTCAAACGTAATTTAAAAAATAACCTAACTTTTTTCGTAAAATTCATTCCGACATTTTCATTTTCAATTTTAACTTAAAACATAAATAATTTTGTAATTATCGCAAATAATTTTTCATAATTAATAATAATTGCTTTCAATTTATGGATACGATTTAGCTTTAAGTGGTTAAAATTATTATGTGGCTATATTCACGAAAAATTTCCTTCATTCTGACATTACATGTCAAACGTCATTTAAAAAATAACCTAACTTATTTCGTAAAATTCTTTTTAACATATTTTTTAGCAGACGTAACAAAAACCCACATTAATAAAGTAAGTTACATTATTCAAATTTATACGTACGAGCGAAAACTATTACCGCATCAATTTTCTCTATCAACAAAAAAAAAATTTCCCAATTTCGAAACTTCTATAGTCAATATGATAATATAGAAATCGTTACCCCACCGCTCCATTTCTCTTTTCGACGCAACGTGCTACAACAATATCAGAGAAATTTCCTCGACGATTTTCACTCGACGCGTTTGAAAAACGATGAGAAAAAAAACCAATTTCACCTCCGGCAAATCCCAAACGGCGAGAAAGCGACCGAATCGAATCACGTGATATTGGCACTGCGCATGACCGGGGATTCCCGATCTGCTACATGTCGTGTCCGCGGCCAACTACAATCCGTTCAGTTCACGAGACGAATCGCATGCGAGTATGTACAAAAACGAACATTGAAAGAGAAAAGAATACGAACGATAATAATAATAGTAATTATTATTAATAATAATAAAGGAGAAACCGATGGATTGTGTATTACCGTTTAAAGTGCGAACAAATCGATTTAAAACGCGAAAAAGTGATCTAACCTAACCTCAAAACATCAAAAAATTAAGTTTATCTCGTAATTTTAATTTAGTGGAAAACTTTATCATTATAGATGTGCTGTTTCCGTTTACACATTATTTAACGACAAAGTGCTTTTATTTTTCTTAAAATTTTCTTTTTGGTTAATAATCGAAGAAAATGTCGCGTAGTGGAGGGGGCAATTACGGCGAATCGAAGGGATTCACCCCGAACATTCTTCCAGATGAGACTTCCCTAGACGACAAACATAACCTGTACGAGACGTCGCAGGTGGACAGCGGATTTTTGAGCGGCAACATCCCGTCCGAAGAATTCGAGAGCTCCAGCTCGATGCGGCTGGATAGCGGCGTTTGCGTCGATGCCGTCACCAGAAGTTTTTCTGATCTTAATTTTAAAAGTAGCGATGGCCTCAACGACCTCAACTCAGGATCTATCAAAAGTCCCATTGATTCAACTCAAACGTCACACACGCAAAAACAAAATTGGGAAATTTATCATCAACAGGACGAAGATGGAAACACGTAAGTTTTAATTTAATAAAATTCGCATTTCATAACATAACCTATTTTCGTAAACGTCACTTTTGACAGATATGATAAAAAAAAAATTTGTGGTTAATTTCTTTTTATTTTTAAAGTTTATTGTTATCTTTAGATTTCCTTTTTTAGTATATGAAGCAATTATTTTATTTATTTTAATACAAATTTTATTCACAATTAATTTTTGGGAGACAAAGTTACAAAAAAAAATGTTGTGGCGACACTGTTTATTGACATTAAAATTTGAGGTTATCCATCTGTCAACATTTTTGATTAAACTTGAGTTTTGGTTATAAACGGATCTTTTTTCTTATTAAATTAGCCACAATTACAAGTAAGGAGTACATAGAATTTAGGTTTTAATAATTTTTGTTGCTCCATCTAAAATTACGTCACCCCAACCTTGAGATTTAGATAATGATGTTGATATCTGTATTATTTTCCTCGACAAAATGATTTCCTGGCGATTAAGTATCAAAATTAAACTTAATGGTTCTAAAACTACTACAAAACAAAACATTTTTGTACAAAACTAAAACGTTATAAACAAATTTTTGATTAAATGTTGTTAAGAAAGTGATTAGAAAGTATTAATTTAATTTGTTACTTTATTTACCTTCCAAGAATTCATCAAAGACGTTATTTCATCAAAATCCCAAACGATTGATTAATAATAACGTTCCAAGAAGACGCGACGAGTGCATCCTGTTATTTTAAAGACTTGTGGTTTTTACCAACAATAGAAGAATCGAGCCAAACTTCAATTTACTCCAATAAAAGAAATTTTTCCTTAACATTTCTTGTTATAACTAATCTTATACTTTTAACCTTTTTGATAACCTAATGTTATCGTAACATTTTATTTATAAAGCTGAAAAAATAAATGTAGAGGCAATTCAATGACGTTTATGATGTGATTGTATTTCTTGCAGTTGTGTTATCAAATTATTAGGAAAATCATGATTTTTAAAATAATTTACTAATTAACTCATTACTTTTTAATTTCTCACTTTTCCATTACAAATTTCGAATTTCAATAAAAACTGTGTTAAACGTCAAAATTACGTTTAAAATGAATTTAGCCATACATTACAGCCAACAGTTTAAAAATAAATTTTGAATTTTTTTCTTTATTTTGTTTAAATAAATGTATCAAAATACTTACTATAAACTAATAGAACATTAAAAGCGTCATCAACAATTAAATTCTCCAATTATAGCGATGTGCACATGAAATAAAATTAATTACTACGAGGAAATTGCAAATTTTCTTGCCGCTAGGTGGGGTCACTTACAAGCGTTTGATAACCTAAAAATTCTTTATTTTGACAAACTGTCACTAACTAATATTTATAATACGTGACGTTTTAAACAACAAAGCAAATTTATTTATTTTTATTTAATTTTGTTTGTATTTAACGGATTTTCCATTGTATACGTTACTCTGGGAAAGTTTACCCCGTCGAAACTTTTCTAAACACTTCATTGTTGACGCAAAGGTTTTTTTGGGAATTTTCTTTGTTCAAATGCCCTTTAAAATCTGTACGATAATTTTACCTGCTTCAGTACAAGGGTGTATTTGACCGAGTTCACTTCGAATCATTTTTGTTTAAACAAAAATAAATAAAATGGTTGCTTTAAATAATCTTAATCGTAAAAAACCGGTGACAAATTTTGATAAAACGTAAGATTTTTTTATGAACTTATTTCTTATATTTATATTTGATTTTTTGATGCAGATTTCTTCACCATTCAGTGATTGAACACTTCCCAGAAGTAGCCTTAGCCGTTATTCGGGCGACACCGACCCCAACGCTTTTAAACACCGAAAACGACGATGGCCAAACCGCTTTACATCTAGCCGTTTTAACAAATCAATGGAAAATTGCTCGGATGTTAATCGTAGCTGGCGCGAAACCTTCCCCTATTAATCGACAGGGGGATTCACCTTTACACATAGCGGCACGAATCGGCGACGTGGAATGTTGTAAAGCGATTACTTATCCAGTTCAACAACAAGAAAGGGAACGTTTAGGGCTTTCATATCCACCGCATGCTTACGATAGATGTGATTTGGATCAATGGAATTTCGACGGTAAGTTCTAAGAAAATACGTACACTTTTGTTTTACAACTTGTGTACTTTGCACTGTAAATTACATTACATTACGTATACAGTTAAATGCACTCGAGTAAAACGTCATCGATTGGTTTTTACAATAAACAATAAAAACACTTACGTTTTCATACGTAATTAAAGAAATACATGGTATCAATGAGTAACTCGTTATTAGAATTTATTTCTTTGCTTTTTTATTTCTTATTAAACAGAAATATCTCTTTGTATTAAAAATGAGGTTAGATTTTAATCGAAATGGCAGCTATTTAAGAATGTTTCCAAAATCGAATTGAAGTTTGATAAGAATTGAGGTTAGAGTCATGTCAAGTTAAAACTGTCATTTTGACGTTTATAAAGTTTCTTCTTTAAAATTAACTTTTTGAGTAATTCTTATTATTTTGACATTTAAATTTAATATATTTTTCTCATTGTTGGAGAATGTGTGTTATTAAAATGTATAAGAAACAAGGAAATATCATTTTCGAAACGGAATAAGGAATTTTGCGCGCTTTAGCCTTCGGAAATTCAATCAATTTCAGCATACTACGCGGCTTCTATTATGTGCATTAGACATTATACACACTCTGGGTTTTTCCAAGGTCACATCGACACGACTGTATCGCCGCGCAACCTGTTCTCTCTCTGTATTCAGTGTTCATCTGACAAAAAAAATCCGCTAACAATTTCGGTATACTCAAAAAAAGATAATAAAATAAAAATAAAAGATTATTCTTCATTGTGAGTAAAAAACGCGAAAACAAAATGAGTAATAAATCAAAAATATACACGCTTGAAGTGCACATCACGAGTTTTTGCACTCGGACGAAAGATCGAAGCAAAAATAGATCGAAACGTTGACGGAATTTTCGGTGATATACATAAAACGGTTTCTTTTTAGTAACGGAAATACAAAACGTGTTTAAAAAAATACGGGCTGCGTAAACCTTGATTTATATACGTAGATTGTAATGAAATGTTGAAGACTTTTGGCCTGGGATTTCCAAAGCTTTCTCGTTCGGTCGGCGCCTCTCAGGGTTTTGCCCAGACAATCGGGGTTCCCTGACCCGTAATCTTCCTGTAAATTTATATCTATTAATTCTCAATTATTATTAAAATGTTTTTGAAATGACTCAATTATTTCTTCATTAAAAATTCCATCAAATTTATTGCTATATACTCAGTACTAACAATAAGTTCACTTCGAAATTCAATTTAATTATTAATTTTACATTAATTTATTGGAGAAATTAATTATAGTTGAGTAATTATATCGATAAATATTAAAAAAAGTATTTATCCTTTTAAAACATGCGCAATTTAAATTTATAATTTTGCACTAGCGCCATCTGTTGTTTACTAGCTGTTTTAAATGACAACATTAAAGTTGTCATTCAGCTTTACATTATTGTATATTTATATCGAACTAAAACTAGAATTAACACTAGACCTTGAACTAGAAACATCCGATACTTTCTAGTTCTAGGTCTAGTGTTAGTTCTAGTTTTAATTGTTATTCAGCATTAAATTGTATATTTTTATTGAACTAAAAATAGAACTAACACTAGACTTAGAACTAGAATCATTCTGGTTTAGCCGCACGTCTCTTAAGACGGCTAAACCCGAATGATTCTAGTTCTAGGTCTTGTGTTAGTTCTAGTGCAAAACTAGAAGTAACACTAGACCAAAAACTAGAAATATTTGGATTTAGCCCCACGTCTCGCAAGACAGCTAAACCAGAATGATTCTAGTTCTAGGTCTTGTGTTAGTTCTAGTGATAACGCTAGTGTAAAACTAGAACTAACACTAGAACTAGAAATATTCGGGGTTAGTCGCACGTCTCTTAAGGCGTCTAAACCCGAATGATTCTAGTTCTAGGTCTAGTGTTAGTTCTAGTTTTAATTGTTATTCAACGTCAGATTGTTGTATATCTTTATTGAACTAAAAGTAGAACTAGAAACAGTCAAAGAGATATTATAGTTTATGCATTAATTACAAAATTATATACACCGCCATCTATCAATATTAATTATAACCGAAATTCGTGAATGAAGTTAGATTCAATCCATTTTATAACTAAACTTATTAAATTTTTCCTTCATTTTTAGATTAATTTGTTTACAAAACGGGGTAAATTTAACTTATTTAATAATTTTTGTTCATTTATACATCAATTAAAATAACATTTTAGAAAATATTTTGTTATAGCTAAATCTAACTTCATTGTGTTATGGGCTTGTCATTATTGACAGGTTATTGACAGGTCCGATGATTCTCTTAAATTGAGTTAAATTAATGATAAATCCTTAATATACAAATTAAAAATATGTATAAAACGAGAATTTTTTGCTGTCGAAGGATATAACCTCAACATTTATTTAGTAGTTATGAAGGAACTAATAAACTAATAACTGGTAATAATAGAATAAGTAAGTATGTATATAACTTATGAATATGATCAATATTTTCTTTAATTTTTTAGATATGTGTCATAAAATGCACCAAAATAAACATTAGTTTCGTAACGAAACGATTCAAAAACCTCTAATTTTAACCGTTGAAAATTTCCCCACCGCAGCCTTTTTACTTGTACAGGCCATTTAAGGTCGCCCGGACCGAAATAACGCCGCTTTTCCGTGGCTTTTCCACCTCGGAAAGCGAGACGGAGACAAACCTACGTCAATTCCAAGTTTAATTTGCGCGTCGTTTCGACGTCATCATAAACGCTTTAAATACTCAGTCCGTAAAAAAGAATTTGTCTAATTATATAATTCCATAAAAAATGTTTTAAACTTCCTTTTCATGATGCTCAAAATAAATGTTTAGATCTAAAAATTCTTTTTAGACGTATGTACGTAGTCTAAATTTAAAATTTTTTTTAACATTTCTATTTCCAGGGATTAGTTTAGAAGAAGAGACATTTGGTTTTCCTCTTTTTATGTTATATGTTGTTTATAAAAACGTTTCCAAAATCGAATTGAGGTTAGATTTAAAACTGTCATTTTGACGTTTATTTTTTAACAAAAACTTACGTGTTCATACGTAATTAAAGAAGAATTAAAGGAATACATGGTATTAATGAGTAACTCATTATTAGAATTTATTTCTTTGCTTTTAAATGAGATTTCTTATTAAATATCTCTTTATATGAAAAGTGAGGTTAGGTTTTTAATTAAATGACAGTTGTTTAAGTTTAAGAACGTTTCCTAAATCGAATTGAAGTTAGATTTAAACTGTCATTTTGACGTTTATAATATTTAATTTATCATTTTGAGTAAAATCATGCAATTTTTTTTAAATTTTTATATTTCCATAAAAAGAAAGTTGCAAGTTCCGATTTAACACGTTCGATTTATCTTTAAACTTCCTTTTCACGTGTCTCAAAATAAATGTTAAGATCTAAAAATTCTCTTTAAAGGTACGTAGTCTAAATTTAAAATTTTTTTTAACATTTCTATTTCTAGGGATTAGTTTAGAAGAAGAGACATTTGGTTTTCCTCTTTTTATGTTATATATGTTGTTTATAAAAACGTTTCCAAAACCGAATTGAGGTTAGATTTAAAACTGTCATTTTGACGTTTATTTTTTAACAAAAACTTACGTTTTCATACGTAATTAAAGAAGAATTAAAGGAATACATGGTATTAATGAGTAACTCATTATTAGAATTTATTTCTTTGCTTTTAAATGAGATTTCTTATTAAATATCTCTTTATATGAAAAGTGAGGTTAGGTTTTTAATTAAATGACAGTTGTTTAAGTTTAAGAACGTTTCCTAAATCGAATTGAGGTTAGATTTAAATCTGTCATTTTGACGTTTATAATATTTAATTTATCATTTTGAGTAATTATCGTGCAATTTCTTTCTATTCTTATATTTCCATAAAAAGATTTATCATATCGACGTTCGATTTATCTTTAAACTTCCTTTTCACGTGTCTCAAAATAAATGTTAAGATCTAAAGATTCTCTTTAAAGGTACGCGGTCTAAATTTAAAACGTTTCTATTTTCGGGGACGTGTTTAGAAGGCGAGACATTTGGTTTTCCTCTTTTTCTCGCTCGCGGAGAAGAACCGTTTGCGTAGCAACAAGTTTTTTTGACGGAGAGAGAAGTTTGTAAGGAATCTGGTCTTGGTTTTCTGTGCCAGACGGTTTGGGATTTCCAACCGAGAACGTTTTAGTGGTAACGAGGAGCTTTTGCGCTACGAAACGGCGCGACCGACGCATTCCTCGTGTCTATGCACTCGTCTCAAAACGGAGACCGGACCGATCCGGAGCTAAAATTAAACTCCTTTTGACCGGGATGAAAATGTTTTAACGACGGTTTTAGAACTCGATGTCTAGTCATTCCGTGGGAATGCGATTTTGTAATAGTTGTTGTACCTATTTAAATCATCGCTTTGATTTAAATCATTTTTTTTATTTTTTTAATTGAGGTCAAAATAATAACGATTTCTTTTCTTTTATTATTTTTAACACTCGTTAATAAGCTTTTGATGTTGAAGTATAAAAGGTTTGCGGTTCGTTTAATTTGGATAAATAAGCACCGGGAATCCCTGATGATGTATCAGTTAATAAAAGTCGATAAGTTGACGACGCGTTGCAATGTGCGGTTATTTATTGCGTCGTTATCGATTTTGTTCGGTATTTTTTTCTTCAAAATAAAATAAACACTATAATATTACATTACAACAAACTTAAATAGAGAGTTGTTTCTCAAAATCGAACGACTCACGACCTTCTTAGTATTCGACTCGGAATTCCCGTTAATAATAATCTATAAACGATGAAGAAAAATTGTTTTTATATGTTTCTTTTATTCATTTAAACATTAAATAAAGAATTGTTTTTGTTTTTTGCCAATAATAATAATTCTAATAAATATTGATATTTGTAAAATGTTGTTTATAGAAAAACAGGTGTATAAAAGCTCGTGCATCTTCAGACGCCGTTAAAGAAATGTTATAAATAAATTAACTCTAACACATTTTCGATATCTTTTCGTTAAAATAATATTTAACCATGTAAACAACCTAATTGGTTAAAAAATGTTACGATTTTGTTGGGAATTTCCAACGATGACGTAATTTTTTTATTATCTATTAATCTAGACACTTCACACAATAAAAATTAAAAAAAATAACTTTCCCAAAGACAATTTAATCGAACTTTATAATTTATTTTCAGGTCAAACATGTGTCCATGTAGCGGCTTTACACAATCAATTAGAGTTCCTAAAGCATTTGGTGTGGCTTGGAGCGGACGTGAACGCCCGAGAAGGAAAAGGGGGTTACACGATACTTCATTTCGCCGTTCAAATGGGTGATGAGCGTTTAATACGTTTTCTACTAAGTTGTAGAGCTTTAAACGTAAGCGTTCTCACGTACGGGGGAAGAACCCCCCTCGAACTCGGTTACCCAGTTCAAGAGCACGTCATCAAATTGCTTAAGGAACAAGGGATACCATCACCAGATCAAAGCGAGTACGAATATGATAGCGATGAAAGCGACGAAGACGATGTAAGTTATCTTTAATGATTTAACTTCATAAAGTTAACTATAATTTTTGGTTATAGGATGTTTATGGTCAGATGAATATGTTAAGTCAACAACAATCGAGTTTTGCGATTGGAGCGAGTGCATAAAAAATAAAAAAAATAAAAATGAGAGGTGGAAGAATGAAATTGAAAAGAAATCTATGGTGATTTGTTCTTTTTAAAGATGTTAACGACATCTATTAAAAAAAAAGTGGAACGATTAAATAATTAAACGATGGTATTCAATGTAAAGAAAATTTCTTTTATTTGTAATGAAAATTCTCCCTAAAAAGCGAGGTGTACAATTTTTATTACATGTAATGGAGATTGTTTTAGTGCTGAGTGAGTTTTTTCACTCCCTAATCGTAAAAAAATAGTAGGTACGAGTAAAGGCTTGTCATTGTGTTCGAAAAAATTAATTAATTACTTCAATTAATTGAATTTAAAAAGAAAAATTAAAAAAAAAAAAAAATACAGAAAGATACATTTATCGATTAGAGAGAAGAAACTTTTTAGTTAATTAAAAAAAATCCTGTTATATTTATTGTTGTTAATGTTAGGTAATTTAACGGCTTATTATTATTATTATCCTTATTCATGTGTAAATATTAAAAAGTAAAATTATTAATTTGTAGGATCGCGAAGATTTTAAAAATTAATCATCATTAAAAAAAGAATTATACTTTCATTTCTTTTTTCCTTTTAATTTTTAAGTTTAATTAATGTACAAGTCTTTTTGACAAAAAATACAAAATCCTTTAAATCTGAATAATCTTTTTATTCAACATTTACGTTTAACAAAACTTAACATTCACATGGATCACGAACAAAAGCAGCTTTTGGGTCATCATCTCTAATCACGGTGTATTCCAATTTGTATTTCCTATTATCAAGTCCGTTTTTGTAATAATAATGTAAATTAAATATAGATAACGCAATTCCAATTAAACCCATAAATCCGGATCCTATTAATTCGGGAATTTCATTCCAACCTCTTTTAAGTAAACTGAAATTTCTTGAAGGCGGTTTAAACATTTCTGGATTTTTTTTCAGTTTGACGTTTTGAAATTTTATGATTAAACCGCCCTCTATTAGTTAGTCTTGTAAATATCTTGTTGATGATTTTAGTCATAATTTGAATTAATAATAATTAAAATTAATTAGAGTGGCTTACACTCAACTTTCTTGAATTTCTATATGGTAATGAATATTAAATACAAAAAACCGGTGTTAAACAAATTGTCACTTATTCGAAACTAAAAAAAAAACTTACAGTTTCCGACTATAACAGTAAACGATCAAGTTCAAATTGGCACTAATCAATGTCAAAATGGCATTAAACAAATTTTAATTATTTTTTATAGATATCCAGTCGATATAATATTTTGAAAACTAAATATTATAATATGTCCATAATGGTTTAGAATACGTAAGTTGCGCTTAATGGATGAGAAAAGTTTCAAAAATGATAATTGATATGGATGATAAGACGTGGAAAGTATATCGATGATGAGGTATCTAAAAGAGTATCAAGATATTCATCCAAAAATGGGTTATATATTAAAATAATAAGCGAAAAAAACTACAACGATCATAAATGTTATGCTAAAAATAATGTCTAAATTAAGAGTCCGTACGCAAGTTAAAAAAGCAATTATTATCAGAGAAGGAGAAACATCGAAATGCAATTACCGACTTTTTAAGAGGTATTATAAATCAAATAGAGGGAAGTTATGAGATGGTCGTCGAAACTAGTTGTCAAAAAGATCAGAAAAAGTGATGTTGCCTTAGCTACTGATGGAAAAATTCAGTTTCCTTCAAACAGTTATAAAATGTTAAATCTGCTAAAGCTAAAGCTTCTTTACAAGATTTTGCATAATTTGATAAATTGTAGTTTAGTCATCAATTATGTTGGATTCGCGGATATAAATATTTCGCGTGCAGCCAGCTGAAAGGTACTGATGGTGTGTTATTTGCTTCAAATAGACTTTGGCTTGTCATTGAAAATATAATGAAACCGAAATGTCTAAATCTTATGAACGAGAGTTGGCATTTATGTACGTATTAATCACGTAATGTTCATTATAATGTATGTTATTTCCTTAATTTTTTCTTGCATACTCGATTTTTCCATGCCATAAATCCAAAATGTTCAAAAACACAGCAATTTATACTGTAAGGAGAATACAACCACCACGTTTGCTGCCCAACTTACTTATTATGCCAATTTTCACAGCATTGCTACTTTCGAAATACTATTCTGGGAAGCATCATCAGTAGCAGAAAGAGTTTTCCTTCTTCAAAAAAAAAGGCACCGAGGGCGCTATGCAACCTCAAATCCAATCTAAGTATTTTTCTTTGATTATATTATTTTTGCCAACGTACCGAATGAACTACTCATTTCTTGACATGTCATACGTTTCGTCAGCCGAGATATAACCTGTGAGATTCTATTATTTCATCAACGATTTTTTAGAACTTGGCAGCTGTCCGATCCGCATACAACTTTTCGTTTAAATTCAAATTAGTCTTGTATAACTTGTATTTCGCACCCCCACCACGTGTGCCCGTCAATAAATTGTATTATACCGTTAAACTCACCCTCTTTCAAATTGTCATCGTCGTGATTGATGGGTCGAGTGAACCGGTTACCGCGCGTGTAATAAAAGATAAGTAAGAACATTTAACTTTTTTATTATTTCGATTACATTTTTCTGGTCCTTCGAATAAAACACCAAATTAGAATCAGCACCAATTTCATTAAGAACATCTAATTTTTATTAGCGTGTTCAACAGCAAATGTCAATAACTTTAATTTGGAAATAAATTATACTTTAGATTATCGGAAGAAATAAGAGAAGAGGATTCAAAATTACCTTGTAACACATACTATGTGTTAGTACTCTAAATTTTAATAACCACAAAATTTCTTAGCTAATCTTCCCAGGAAGAGCGTGAATCCATTGGTCTGGAGGATACGTCCTCGCATATTTGCATATTTTTAACTTTTCTGAAGAGTAGAGAAACGAAAGCGTCCATTATTCCCTTTTTCTATAAAGGATTAAGCCTTTAATAAGGCTTAAGTTTTGCACAACGCTCCTTTTTAATTGGTGAAGAACATATGGCTGCTGCAATTATTGCTCCATTGGATTGTATTGTGGCGATGTATAATATCATAAGTCTTAAAACAAGTGAATAATACACATGGTTTATTCTTATGATGTCTATTAGTGGTGTATCCGGCAACTATCCGGTATCCAGCCTATCTTAAAATCCTATTACCTAGTACTCCACCATTTACAGAAATTAGTATCTCGTTTAGATGTTGGACACTGCAGATAATAATCAAGTTCAATCCCAATAGGACTATTTTCCTTGAATACAACTTTATTTATCATTAGCAACCTCATTATAACAATCCCAATACGATATATAAAATCTCTTGTTGCAGTTTCGTCTAGTTTTCTTCTCTTCGCTTGTAATTGTCATCACATTCAGAGGCAGCGCTACCGGGGGGTGCAAGGGGTGCACTGCACCCGGGCGCCGCCTAAAAGGGGGCTCCGGCGCCTTTTTAATGTTTTCTCCAACAATATCTTATCTTTTTTTTTGCAGTATTTAGACCTGTCAGCAGTAGTTAGTCTACAGAAAGCAGTATTTAGTCTCCACAAAGCAATTTTAGTCTTAAGAAAACAGTATTTAGTGTTCCAGACGCTGTATTTAGACCTGTCGGCAGTATCTAGTCTTCAGAAAGCAGTATTTAGTCTTCTAGAAGCAGTATCTAGTGTTCTGCCAAAGTTATGTATGTTTTCTCCAACAATATCTTATCTTTCTTTTGCAGTATTTAGACCTGTCAGCAGTATCTAGTCTTCAGAAAGCTGTATTTAGTCTTCACAAAGCAATTTTAGTCGTTAGAAAGCAGTATTTAATCTTCCAGAGCAGTATTTAATCTTCCAGAGCAGTATTTAATCTTCCAGAGCAGTATCTAGTCTTCAGAAAGCAGTATGTAATTTTTTAGAAGCAGTATCTAGTCTTCTGCCAACGTTCTGTATGTTTTGTGCTTGATACTGACAGCAACTTCTTACTGGGTGTCTATCATCATCTTTTTGGGAGCCTCTTATTATCTATACGGATCTTGTACCACCCGGTACTTCATTTCTGCAGCTGTTACTTTGCTTTTGTGCTGATCCTGCATTGGCAAAGTTTCCGTATTGGTGATTTCCTGTCCTGTGCAATAACAAGACAAGTCCATTGGTTTCTTGTTCATATTCTTCGCATTCTTTTATTGAACACATAAAAAAACATGTTTGGTTTATAATCAATTTTTTGTTTTCTCTGAACAGTAATTTCAGACTTCATGTGGACTTTGAACAATGTAATTCCTGTTTTTTGCTGAAGTCTAGTTTATAACTATTGCAATTTCAGTTCCCGCACCCTAGCGCTTCATTTGCTAGCGCCGGCACTGCTGCAACTCATGGCTAAGGGGATGGTTTTATTTCTTTTTAAAGCCGAAACGTTTTTACCCTATTTTATTAGCAGTTTCAAAATTTATTCTGGAATTTGTGGATAAACAGCAGGTAGCGACCTTCGTAACATTCATTTCACACAACGTGATCATATTTTCTATGTCCAATCCATTTCACTGTGCGTTTCAATCTTAGCGACCGTGGTGGAATTGACAAAATAGCTAACTTCACTTCAATTCAAAAAAGTTCGTTTTGTATCTTGGATCTAAATAATTGATATATCTTATCAGCTTTCTTATTAATTTCATTTTTATTCAAATATGGCAATAATGTGGCAATGTAGGGTATCACTTCAAAAATGTACCAGAAATTATAACCATAATGGCCTGATAGATATGTCGGATAACCGGATATCCGGCTTTTCGCAAAATCACTATTCGTTCCATCACTAATCTCTATATACTATTACTTGTACGTATATCTTACAAAAACAGCATTTGAAGTGGCTTTATTGGTTTCTCTAATCCCTCGAATATCTATCTGAGGGTGTTGTGAAAGTAAAACTCGCTCTGCAAGACAATTCCTTCCATAGGTATCAGTTATTATATTGTGTAAAATACAAATACACTTAATAATCTGACTTGGAGTTGCGTTTGTTTGCAAAAGATGAAATTTCCATAATCGCCAACATTATTATCGTAAAAAAGCCTTTGTAGTTATGGAACAAAGTCCAGGTGGTAGCCGGATATGTTCTTAATGAGGGACATATTTTATTTCTTCGAATTCCATATAGTTACGAAGAAAATTGCGGTTTAGTAGGATGCGGTTATGTTAAAACCAGCTGGGTGGATTTCAACGCGGTTTTAACCAAAATATATTAATTAATTGCGTTCGTCGAATACCGTTATTAATTTTTCAAAGTTTAAATTTTATTGAGTGATAAACTTCTTGTTTCATATTCTTGTAACAGATACCAAAGTGTTAATAATGTTGTTTTAATTAAGAACAAATTAGGTTCTTCATTAGCAGTCATTCTGTTTGTTAGCACACATATGCAAGAGCACGCGTCGTGCTTATCGACTCTCCTAAAATGTTTTACTCAACTTTTTGCGCAACTAATTGGCCAAGATAGATTTTTAGCTGTACATAATTATTATATCTTGTTATGAACTTGTATTGATTTCTTGCTAAATAAATAAGTGTTAGAAATAAATGTGGTATTTAGGTAAAGTACCACTTTTGGGTGACTTTTATGTAATATTTACAACAAATTTCGTCGTCTCGTCGTATTTATATACTACAGGATTCAAGGGCTTTCAAAAAAAGATTCTTCTTTAGAAACTTCTATATATTTTATATACTGGAAAAATTCAAAAATAAGCTTATAAATTAAATTAAACAAATCGTTTTTATAAATATAATATTACATTAAACATAATAATACTGATTATTTTTATACAATACCTAATTGGATTACGAAATTTAGTCACTTAACGTCTTTGTATAAAAATTCAAACATTTTACATGTTCAATACAAGTTTCAGCAGCCTGCAACAATTAAATAGATATTCAATACAACAAAATTATTATTGGCTTACATTTCGAACATTCTCCATAGAATCATAAACCAAAGCTTCAACAGTGTCTTTAATTTCTTCATTCCAAACATTTTCCAAAGTTTTATTATCATATTGTGCCAAACACGACAAAAACCTACAAACTCTTTCTCTCAACAATCCATTAGAATCCCTCAACATTCTAACAATATCTAAACTTTCCTCTTCTTCCGGTTCAAAAATTTTCTGTATTAATTCATAATTTTCCGGCGTTTTTCGCAAAACTTGAGTCAAAATCGCCAATAAATCATTAACGATTCTAATTTTCTTTTTAGTTAACGTTAATAATTGCCTTGTTAAATTATAAACATTAAAAACAACAATAGAATCACAAAATTGATGGAGAAACTTATCGTTGGAATGTATCAAATAACAAATCAAACAAAAAATATCTTCTAACGCTTGGAGATCATTCTCGGTGAGGTTTAATATAATTTCTGGAAGTTTTTCAATCGGCGTTGAAGCGGAATCATTAGAAGAATTAATCATCGAATTCGGATAATTTTTTAACAACAATTTAGACGAATAAAGCAAGTTTGGAATTAATTTAACTTCTAAATACACTTTTAAAATCGTTTCTAGATTATTATCAGAGATATTTTTTAAAACAAACGGTAAAGAAAATACATTCGCTACTAATTTAATTACTTTTGAATTAGAATTCGCATTTCTGAGAGGTGAAACAATAATATCAGTCAAATTCGTTTGTGTTAAAGATGTTAAATCTTCGTTTAAAACGTCTAAAATCGTTCTTTGTAAGAACACCAACCACTCCTCATTTTCGATGGGTTTAACATCCTCATTTATGTTTAAATTAGTTATTTTTGATTGAGATTGCAAATTAGATGAGTCGTTTTCTAAATTATTCGATAATAACATAGCGCATAAATCATCAACGTCTTTTTTTAAATCGCTTTTATTCATTTTTAATGATTTATTGCTTTCTTTTGATGCAATTTTTTCAGTTGAATTTAGTTTTGAGGTCGAATCTTTTTGTTCTGTTGATTTAAAGCTAGTTTTTTTGTCCCCACAACTTTTAAACGAACTATTTGATACTTTACTTTCTCTAGATGGAATTCTTTCAGTCGTTTTTCCATATATCTCCCTAAAAAAATAAAATAATTCGATATCAAAAGAGCTGGATAAAACAAATTTTACTTTTGAGTCGTTTTTTGGTTAAATCTCTCAATTCTTTGTTGTTCTTTCGCTTGTAATGTATGCGCGGATAAAGGGCGGGTTAAAGGCATCGTTGGGGCATCTTCCATGATTAAAATGTGCCCCTCCACGAAAGGATGATTCAATATTTCAGGCCAAGATAGGCGATCGTTTGGATTTTTTTGTAATAAACCCTAAAAAATACTTTTATTTCATCCTCCTTTTATTATTTTAATGAATAAAGTTACTTTTAGGAATGAAATACTACTTTCTGATATAAAAGTGGGCCATTGCACTTGTTCGTGTTTAATTAAACGAATTAAATGTAAAATAGAAGCTGTACAAAACGGCGGAGCGCCCACTAAGAGCTCGTAAATAATGCACCCAAGTGACCATAAATCAGCGTTGTGGTCGTATGGTTGTTCTTCTATTAATTCTGGAGCCATATACAGCGGAGTTCCTTTTATTGAGGTCAAAACGTGCGTTCCTGTACTCATATTTCTTGCAAAACCAAAATCGCATAATTTCGCTGTGTCGTTTACGTCTAATAAGATGTTTTGTGGTTTTAAATCTCTAAATTAAATAAAAATTTGTGATTTTTTAAACATAACCTATAAATTTTTTGACATTTTTAACATAACCTATTATGTCATTTTTGACATAACCTATAAATTGATTAATTTAGATTTACCTATGCAAAACTCTGTGAGAATGTAAATAATACAAAGCGGATAATAAATCCCAAACAATTTTTTGAACTTTATCCTCCGGTAAATACCCAGCTTTACCCAAAATTAAATTTAATTCTTTATGTGCGAACTCAGTAATGACAACAATTTCATTTTCAGTTTCAAAAGAATCCAACATTTGGATAATATTTGGGTGGTGTAAATGCCGTTGAATTTCGCATTCTCTCCTAAATCCTTTTAATTCCTTATTTGAACGACCCCTCTAAAAAACATAAACTTAATAAAATAAAGATGTTGAGATTTTTTGACTTACTTTGCTTATAACTTTTAACGCGACGAAGTTATCGGTTGAAATCACTTTTGCCTTATAAACTCTACCGAAAGAACCTTCACCTAACAAACCAATAACATCGTATTTATCCATAATTTTAGGTTAATTTATAATTGGAATGATATGTTTAGTAAACAAGAATGGGGGTGTAACGCCGGTTTTACACGATTACAAATTTAACGATTTTTTAATAATTAACTTAAACATTGAGATTATTATCTTCCTAATAAAAAATAATACGAAATAATTTTTAATATTAACAAAAACTTTAATTAAACATTGTTAATAATCTTGTAATTAAATATTTTTGATTGTAAATTGGTCTTAAGCGAAGGCGGTACCAATCGAAAATAAATAAAATTCCCTAATTATTTAAAAACTTCATAATTATGATTGAATCTAACTAAATTAATTAATTAACATTTTTAGAACGATGATTTTTGTTAAAAATGATTAAATTTAGTAGACGATCGCACTTTTCGCATTAGTTGAATATAAAATGAATGAAGCAATTTTTAAAAACCTAACCTCAAATCAAAAATCCGTTACGGTTCTTTTCGATTTTTTGTACATTATACCCTTAAAATGTCGATTCCGATTGATTCGAGGGAAGTTTACGAATATTTACAAGAATTAGGATACGAAAATATATCATCAAAACAACTTAAGGAATTTGTGCATGGTAAATATTAGGTTAGCTTGATTTTGAACTTATTTAATTATTGTATTTTGTTGTTAGATTTAAAAAAGTTAATAAAATACGAAGAAAAGAAGAAACGTAACTTGTATAATAAAGAAAATGTAGCCCAAGATATCCAAGAAACGAAACAAAAAGATGATATATTCCAAAATTTGTACGAAACAAATACAGAAGCCTCGAAAGCAAAGATTGTTCAACCGAAAAAAGATAAAATCATAACAGTTCAAGTAAAAAAGCACAAAGAAACTTGTAGACATTATAAACCAAAATGTGAAGGTGTTGAAACACAAACTGTTGATGTTGATAAAAAAGATGAATCACCGTTATCAGAAAATAAAGAAACTCAAATTAGTCAATCTTCTCTAAATAGTAAACGTTCTGATAAAACAACGTCAATGAAAGAATCAGATCAACTTGTTAAAATAGAAGATGGTAAAAAATCGTCGAGTAAAGAAAATGTTATTGAATTAAAACCAAAAGCTTCCTTTATTCGGCCTAAATCAGTGAAAACGACGAAAAGTGATCCTGTTAGTTTGTATCATAGGTATCAGGCTGAATGGAAAAAGCAAAAAATACCTGGAGTTGATAACCATTCGAATTTGAGGTGGGTTATTCGAGAAAAAATGTTGGGGGATCATCAACCAGTAAGTTTTTAACACTGCCCAATACAATTTATTTTTCTCACACACCATTATGTATAGTTTATGTCATTTTTCATGCTGATACTGAAATGAATTTTAAATTTGTTCCATCACATCAGAATTTTGGGATTTTGTTTTAATATTTTTTTGTAATATTTTAAAGTGACTTTTATATAGGTAAGAAAGATACTACAGGATATATTGCACTGCCGAGCATTGAGTAAACATTTATATATAAAAATGATATAATTAAAAAAAAATAAAATGTTACAGCTTAAGTAATTTCTTAGCACCATCTAGCGGCGAATAGATGTAACTAATAGAGAAATTTACAGTAACCTACAGTTCGAGTTGAAAATGCTATGATTTTACTTTGATTTTATTAATACTAATTATTATATTATTTTTGTAATAAAATCGTAAGAAGTACATGTCAAATCGTCTCACGAGATTAAAGGTAATATCATCAGATCTCATGTTGTATCATCATGTATGGCACATGATACAATGAATTATGTAGAGGAAGTTCCAAAGGAGTATGAAGACATAGAAAAATGTGAAGACAAGTATTATTGGTTAAAAGCAATGGAAAGAGAAATTGATTCAATAGAAAAGAAAACCCTAAAGAATATAGAAGAACAATATAAAGCTAGACTTGTAGTCAAAGGTTGTGGCCAAAGAAAATAATTTGATTATGAAGAAATTTATTCACCTATAGCAAGGATGTCCAATAAGAACAATACTAACAATTGGAAATCAATATGGATTTGCATTTAGACAGTTCGATATAAAAAGCAGCGTTTAAATGGAGAATTAACAGAAAATATTTATATACAGTGTGTCCCAGGATAGATGTTACAAGAGGTATAATGACATAAAAATGACTTTCAAAATATGAAAATATTCTTAAAATTCTGTTCACACTAAGCAGGGCTTAATTGCTTACCCTTAATATAAAATACAAAATTTTTTATCTCATTATACCTCTTGTAACATCTATCCTGGGACACCCTGTATATCCACCAGAAAAAGTAACATATAAAAGAGGAAATGCTCTAAAGTTAAATAAGTCTCTGTATGGTCTAAAACAAGCTGCTAAATATTGGAATAAGAGATTTAATGATTTTTTGATAAAAATCGGATTTACTAGATCAATTAATAAATATTTTAGTATAGTTTATACAGGCTGTCTCACATAACTGATTCGTTAGAATTTTTTTAGGTTCCACTATTCGTACAGTTTTGAAATTTTTGTAACATGGGTTGTTCATTCGGAACTTTCGATCTAAAATATTATCAAGATGGCTGCCACTTCCGGTTTACCGGAAGTAGACCAGAACTTCGTTATTTTAAATGAAACGCTATGGTTTTTATTACACCTTTTAATTGTACGTAAAAAATATGTTAACTTTTTCTTTATGAAAAACATTTTAAAACAGAACATTTCCATGTAATTTACGTACCTAATTTATATTATTTCATTTATTTTTCAATACCGTTTGTACCAAAATCTGATGTGCCAGAATAAATTTATTTTTATTGTTATTATTACGACTGTAAGAGAAAGTAAAACTAGAGGGTGGGCAAATTTGGGTGTTATTATAGGCTGTCTCAGAAACGATAAGAGATACGAAAAATGTAGTTAAAAAAATCAAATTTTCGTGATACTACTTTTTTCGTATCTTTTATAGTTTCCGAGATAGCCTATTTGGACATCGAATTTGAACCACCCTGTACAGGGTGGGTAAATTTGGTTGTTATTATAGGAAACTAAATTTAATTTCTTTGACGACACTAAAAAAAGTTTATTTTTAGCTTTATTCTAAAACAATAAGAAATAGACCTATATAATCCCATATTTTTGTAATCAGAAAAAAATAACGAATTTAATAAGCGAATATTCAGTGGTTATTTCCATTTAAAAAAACGAAAATTATCATAATATCTCAAAATCTAAAACTGAAAAATTTTTTTTGACTGCCTCATGAAATTCCCTGTAAAAAAGTGTCCATATAATGTCTTAGTTATAATACTTCACCTATAATAATAACCAAGATAACTGCACTTGTTGGTTTTACGATATTTTCATTTTTGGCCTCTAGGGGAAAAACAAAAGACGATAGCGCTTTGAGGTTTTCGACATTGGAATTTATTTAAAAAAAGAGATCGAGACATGTAAGCTACTTTTTTTCTAACTCTTATAGTTTCCGAGTTAGCCTATTCAGACATCGAATTTGAACCACCCCTGTACATAGTTACTAAAGAAAAATGTTGAAAATGAAAATTTGTTGCCTAGTGTAATACATTGACTTTTTAATTTATATTTATTTATTTATTTTAGAGTATATCTCGCCAAGTTGCTGTAAAGAAAGGATTTAATAAAAATTCAAGAGTTTGACAAAACTTTACAGAAACTTTTAGGATTTACGACGTCAATTTGTATAAAATTGAAATTAATGCCAATTTATGTATTATATATGTAAGGTAGTAAGTAAAAAAAAGCGGAGTCGATTAATGAATCTTTAAATTAATACATAAGGAAATAAATAGGAATAAATTTTTTTAGTGGTTATTTAAGTTTATTTTTATAACAACTTTTTAAGATTCGTGGTACTGTTTTAAAATATTTCCTAAATTATCTACCGCAACTATAATTGTATTTCCAATATTATCATGTATTTGAAACGAAAATTTAAGAACCCTCCCCAAAAATACCCAACTATTTAAAACTAATTCACTGTCTTTCTCTCTTATTTCAATAACCCTAATTCCATTTGTAGAGTGAACGACTTTATTTTCAATATTAAAACTTGGTTTTGCTTGATTCAAAACACTATGATCATTAAAGAACCTAAAACGCAACAAATTAATCTACAACAATAACAAAAATTAATACATTTACTTATGATAAAATATTATTGCTAAACAACTCTGAGTAAAGTAACTTTTATTGGATTTATAAACTTTTTCAGAGTTCTTAGGAATTGATTTTTCACGAATAAATCCATTTTTATTAATGAGATGATTTAAATTATTTTTTGAGGATAAATCCAAAAAGAATTCATGAATATCATCAAATCCACGGCCCATAACGCCACCTTGCGTGTGTCCCAAATCAAAGGTATGGCATAATTCGTGTAAAACAGATCCGAGAGTTGTTGAAAAGCAAGCGCCTAAAGTATTTCTAAAAATAAATTTAATTATAACGAAATTTTTACCTTAAAAGTTATTGCAAGTATGCAACCATGCAAGCATTACAATACGAATACTGTGATATTGGTTGCATACTTGCAATGATGACGTTGGGTAGATCAACGTTCGTTGAGTAAACATACTGTATAAGGTTATCCAACTCCATATGAACGTATCCCCCCGCAAAGCCCTTGCTGTGACGTCATTGGAAGAATTGACATTTCTATGTTTTTATTTGTACAGTGTATTTCACTTAAGAAGCATACATGTTATTAATACATTATAAGCATATATTTTTATACAAAAATATAAAAAAAAAATAAAATTAAAAAAATATTAAAATATAAAACGAAATATTAACGGTTATAATTTTATTATTGTTAGGTTATCCAACTTGACTCGGTTACCATGGTGATTAAGATCGAAATATTGCAGGTGCTTGTCAAAATTGAAATTAAATTTAAGTTTTTTTAAAGGAAAAAGTCTTATTTAATTGGTTTAAAAGGCTGTATTTAACTCAAAATTGGTTTATCTAGTGTATT